TGTGGTTGGTTGTAGATTCCAAACTCACTTTCTACTCTCTCCCTGCAGTCTCTGCACTGCCCAGCTTACACGACCTCCCACGTCATCTCTGCATGTGTTTCCCTGCCCAAACCCTACATCATTGTACCTTCTCACACTAACCATGTTATGGAATAGCAGCAGGGATCAGAACTGAGCCACACACGTGTGCTGTGTTTCTTCCCTTTTACCTGAGAACAGCTTCAGGTGTTTTCACAGAGGTCTTTCTATCACTCATTCTCATGATGCCAGTTCTGCCCCTTTATAGCAGCTCATCCCTTGGCTTTCAAAGACTATTAACACCTTCACATTTGGTTGCCACGGGGACAACCTTTAGATTTATATTTTAAAGGTCTGCGACTTCTAGGTTTTCTTTCAGCATGATGTTTTCACAGTAAGTGATAACATTTAGGCACCTGATTGTGGGAGATCAGCACCACGCTGCAGCCTGTCTTTTGGGAATGTGTCAGAGCGGCACTGAAGGGATATGGCAATCCATGAGACGAGAGGGGAATGGTATAATTCTTTAGGAGAAACTCCTAACACATGGGACTGAATGCAGTCTCTAAGCGAGCAGGCTCCTGCACGCACAACCTCCCCTGGGCACAGAAACGGCCCTGGAAGCAATTTCACAGACAACGTTCTTCGCTTAGTTCTCGCAAGCCTCTGTCTGCTTAAGCGCAGAGTTGTCAAGTACTTCATTGCTACCAGAAGATCTTTGCCACAGAGCGTGTCTGCCTGCACTTACAGCCCTTCCTTCTGCCACGCGTTGGGGTGGGTGCGCACAGAGCAGGGCTCCTGCCGAGCTCCTCGCCTTTCCCTCCCATCTTACGCTGCTTTGCTGGCTGCCAGCGAGTCCTGATGGCACAGGTTACAGCCTGGGCAGCTTGTCTGTGCTGGGTGTCGCTGCGGGAGCGGTTTTTCATCCATGGTAGCAATGGTAGGGAAGTTTAGCTGGTCAATGCAAAGCAGCCCAGCAGTGATGATTCTTCTCTTCATGTTTGTGATTGCAGTATCAGCTGGGAAAACTGTGCCAGGTACTGCAGGCACCAGTCCAACAACCCCTTCTGCTAACAGCCCAGCACCCAGGTAAGGCCTAAAGAAAAGTCTCTGAGCTTGGACACAGACAAGAGTTATTAATGTCTCACCCACAATATGCCTGTCATCCTGGGGCAGGTGGTCTCTGGGCATTCTGAAGACCCCTGCTTACAGAGGAATGAGATATGACAGGCATCCTTACCAAAGATGGCCTCTCCTCTTCCAGCTCCTGCCCAGAGTGTAATTACAAAGGAAGAAACAGATTAGTAAAATCAAATCACAGCTTTCTAGAATGCAGATGCCTATCTACTCCGGGCTGTGTGCTTTGCAGCAATAGAAATCCCCAGATTCTGCCACTAAGCCTTTCTGTTTGGACTTTGCTCACTCCTGTCCATGAATATTTAACAATGAAATAGTCCTTGGCTGCTATTTTGTCCTTCTATTTACCAGGCCGTTAAATGTAAAGTCCCCTTCGGACATCTGCAGTTATCAACACTGCAGCAGCACCTAAGAGTACAATCATACATCAGCTCCAGTGCTCCAGGTGCAGCAAAACACAGAAGGAGAAGGCACCCGCTTCAGAGAGCCTGGAATTGTGCTCTGAACTTTGAGCAGTAGCTTATTTTTAAAGCCCAGAGAGCAGTTTAGCAAAAGCTCAGATGACACAGCCAGGTAGAAAATTCAAGATAGCATTGCTGCAGGAGGATCAGACCCTCCTTCCAAGTGCATAAAACCTAGTGCATAAAAACTATCCTTGTCCCTTTTTTTTTGGTCACTGTTTGGCAACGGGCTGCACCAGCATCGTGCTGTGCTACTGTCTAACACTGGTAACGCCTTTTCTCTCCTGGCTGCAGCTCAGATGTCAAGACCTTCATCCTGCTCTCTGCGTTCCTGAGCATCCTGTTCATCCTGGCACTCATCAGCTCGATAACACTGTGCGTCAGGCAGCGCAAGCAGCTGAAGAGAAGAGGTACGTGGAGACTGGTGATGCCTCGTGTTCTAGTCCGTATCAAACAGGGCCTTCTCTGGCCGTCACTTTTCCACTCCACTCTCCCAACTCACAGTGCCCTGGAGAAGATGATAAGGCAGGTTCAGCCTGGGAAGCCTCACGACAGGCTCCTTGCTGTGTTCTCCTCTCACAATAAGTCAAACCCGTTTTCCTTCAGACTCTGCACAGGACACCTCCTAACATGCCAGAGGAGAAGTAAAGTGAGTGATGTGTTCACCAGATTCAGGGTAGATGGGTCCCACTGGCACACCCATTGCTTCTATCACTGGGCAATCCCACAGCCTTCCCCAAAACTCCTGAAGCATAGGCAATGCCCAGGCATTTTGTGGACCTCTCTACCTCTAAAACCTCTGATTTTGGCTCATTCCAAAGGTAACACACAAGCAGTGGACATCTATGAAAAACCAGAGGACATAGCACAGGTAAGGAACATGATAGATTTCCCATATGGTACCGAATCCCTTACCAATAGTCTGTGAGGAGCTGGCTGACCCATCTGATGAGGACTTTGGTGCTCATTTTCGGTTGTGAGCAGGAGCGTAAATGGTATTTAATGTCACCAGAGAGACGAATGTTCCTAGCTGGAGAGTGAAGGGGTAATTAATGTAGGAAAAAAACACAGTGGAGCAAATTCCAATAATCTCTGAGAAATGACTCAGAGACTAGAAACCAAGGTTAGATGATGAGATTGTAACCTGTATCAAGGAGAGATGATAAAGGAAAGAATTTTCTGGTTTTCTACCTCTGTCATTACCGAAGGTAAGTTTTTACATGGCTTCTCCTTTCTTCCTAGGAAAATCTTGTGACAGCTGTGGCCTGGCACTGAATCATGCTAACAAGGTTTTCCCTTTCTTTTCACAGCTTGACAGCACTGAAAGAATGGAAAGTCCCACAGATGACAGCAAAGACCTAAAATATGTGGCCCTGAATTTTAAATCCCAACTCAGCCCTGAGGATCCTCTCTACTGTAATGTTGAACCAAGTCAGGTTCACAGAAAACCCGAAGATGAAAATGTGGAATATGCTATCATTGCACTCAAGCAGTTACCAACGAATGACAAAGAATGAAGCACAGAATGGCAAAACAATCCAGAAACGGGAGAAAAGAACTGGAATACAGAGTGGGAATGGGGAGTAGAATGTATGTAGATGGACACGGGGGAAAGATCTAAGTTTCTGCTGCCATGTGTATGTTGTCTATGCATTTTGAGATCTCCATCCTGTTAGAGGCCAGTAGAGAATTTTGCCACAAGCGTGCAGGTTCTCCTTGGTCAGACAGAGGTGCTGGGTAATTCTCAGGATCCCTTGCACATCCGCTTGCTTCAATTGCATTAAAATGCAGACTCTTTTGGAGGGGCAGGTGTGGAGGACTGACCTTTTGAAAAAGCAATATTCATCTGGACATGGATGGGTTTGGTATTTCAGCTATGTTCACTGGTAGAAACTCAGTCCCGCTCCTAAGGGTTCAGCTGCTACGGCCAAGAAAACTCATTCCAGTGCTGTAGGGATCAAACTCTAACCTTGCCGTGACTGGGCTCATTTGCCATGAAATGGGGGGGGGGGCGTATGAGCACTGGACTGTAAGAATAAACAGAACCAGCATCTACCTGAAGGCAAATGGCTTGAGGGTGTATTGCAACACAACGATATCCGCAAACTTTGCAAACTGAGGGTTGTGCTGTATGAATCTGAGCACCAGAAGGTCTTGTAGCCACAAAACAACAGCAGTGCATGTAAGCAATATGTACACTTTTTAAGACTTAATGCAAATTCCCCTATAACCTAAATTTACCAGTCTGCTTAGGTAAGAAGTAAGATGGTAACAGGCTTTGGAACTAAAGCTAAATGTTTAGTTTTAGATTCAAGCAATAGAGTGTGCACGCTGGAGTTTGGGGGTAAGAGGGGATGAAGGTGATGACACTACTGAGTGCACGTACAAGTGTCCCCTTATGGAGTACAGAGGGTTGTGGGATGGATTCAGTGCAGCTGCTGTGGATTACACTAGTGAGAATCTCCGGCACCATATGCTCTAGACAACTCTTTCCAAGCTTGTGGGCTGAATTTGCTTTCAGGGTCATCCGCAGCCACAGCATATTTATGCAGTCTTTGAGGCCTGTGCATGAAAAACATGAACGAAGCAGCAGCTGAACTCTGAAGTTACAGGCATGGTTTCCCACGTGCAGCTTGTGCAGACTGCCCCATCCTTTCACCACCTCCTCATCAAAGGCCTTTACTTTGTTCAGCAGCTTCTGGCTGGCCTGCTGGCTGCTGTCTTACACCCTCTGCTCCCCAACGACACACAAACTGGCTGCTTACACCAAGGCAGTGTAGAAAAAACGAGTATTTCTGGAGGAACGAAAGAAGGGAACAACACGTGGTATTGCAGCAGAGGAGCGGACAGGGCACTGGCATGTTTTTGAACAGAATTTGCCCTGCTAGGCTAACTGCAAGGGTGAGCCCTGAGACAGACAGGAGGAAGATCTGTACAGACAGCAGCACAGGCGAGAAACTGGTAGGCTGGGCAAAGAGGTTGCAGGAAGTATGACACAGACAATAGAGGAAGAAGTGTGAGCACAAGAGGGCTAGAATTAACATCAGATGATATAACAGAAGGGACACAGCGGTAATTCAGAGTGGATTATTTACAGATTTAAATGTCCAAGTCAGTCAGACACACAGTATATTCATAGATCTCCAGTGCAGCTCTGATGCAGGTTGGCAATTCCCAAGCCCTGCCACAAGAACACTAGACTGGCTGGGACCTCATCAAACCCTGCTGTCCTGAACAATCACGCCATAAACTACCAAACACGATTTTCTAATGCACTTGGTCTCTCACCTTTGTTGTTATGAGGCATCTTTGCATCTCTGCAGCAATCACTATCCAGCCAGTCTCAGATGTAGCTCTGTTCTTTTGCAGCACCGTGCTGTACTTTAGACACCTCTTCCCACTCTATTCACCAGCGCAGCTGGTTTTTTTGTAAGTTCTTTGGAAGACCAATGCAAACCAGCATGTGTACTTCCAGCGCTTTTGATTGTGTTTTCTGCTATATCATAGAAAGCAAGCTTTTGTGGCTTCTTCTAAAGTCACAGGAGACCAGAAATGCATGTGCGGTTTCATGGCAGAGCTCCCCAGGGCCTTGGAAAGATACCATTACTTCCCTTTCTCTGCTGGAAACACTCCAAAGGACACATTTGCTGCCTTTATCTAGCAGTCATGTGGTGAGCAGTATGAAACGACTTTGCTGGGGCTCAGCTCAGTTTCTCCAAAAAACCCAGAAACCCTGGCACTTTATTTGGCTGCGCCAAACTCTGCAGACTGGTGGCAAGTTATCCCAATTCACAAGCCTGTCACAGCCAAGAGGCTTCTCTTGCTACAGCTGCAGCAGGGAAGCTGATCTATTTCTTGAGATTTTTGGAGTTGGCATGTTTAACTTGAAATGACAGAGAGAAAAAGAAAATGGTTCTGGAAATGGTTCATTCAGCCCAAGATTCCCTTAACTATTTGCTATTCATGCAGTTACACTGGGTCAAACAGTGGAAGAGTAATAGTAGAACACAATTGAGTGGAAGAGAGACAATTTCAGGGAGACAGTTGCTTCTGATCAAAGAGAATCCAGATTTGTGCTCAGTGGAGCAAGAATGAACAAAACCTGCAATCATTAAGTCTCACAGAGAATTTTTTTATACTGTAAAGTACCATTTTCTTAAACATTAATTAGAGGAAAGAAAAAGAAGGCACATTTATGAATGGATAGACCTGCAGGTTTATCTGCCTGTTAAGAAGCAGATAAGCACACAAGCTAAGAAGCCAGGGTCTGTTGGTACCTGCATGGAAGATCTCCAAGTAAATAAATTCAAAGAAGAAAAAATAGCAACCCAGTTGGATAACGCTCAAGGAGGCTCCCTTAACTGGGTCCTGAACTACTGCATCAGTGCGGCACTGACGGGCTCTGAATCAACACCCATCGCTTGTTCTTACGTCCTTTCTGTAAAGATGTCTGTTTTGCTCATCTAAAGCACCTCACAGCTTCAGCCAACACAGTGTTCTTGTCTTTCTGTCTTCAGTTCGGCATC